AGGTTGCAAGACCTAGATGTTTTCAAGGCTTGTACTTGACCAGGACATCACATGACCTGGACATTTGCAAGAGATGGAATTGATCAGAACATGAAAAGACCTGGACGCTGTCAACAAAGCCTACCAGACCTAGACATTTCTAAGGCGTTAACCAAAGACCAGGACATGAGGTGACCTGGACAACTAAAAAGGATAAAGCTGGTTACTTCTTTTGACTTGGAATCAAGCATATTCAAGAAAATAGTCAACCAAGCCAGTGAGGCCTGGGCGTTTTCAAGACCAGGACATGAGATGACCTGGGCGTTTTTTAAGACGATTCCTAAGGTATAAGGCCGGTTAGTCTTATTGACTTGGAAGTTCATTCAAAGGCGATCAAGAAGAAGAAAAGAAAAGCAATAACCATGCATAGAAAAGGACAACCATGCAAACTGAAAGAAGAAACAAGCCGGTAAATTGAAAACCATGCCAAACAAAAGACAATATTAAACAAGTCAGAAGTAGGCCGGACATCCCCCAGGCCTTGGGAAAATTCAAAGTTTTTAAAATTGTCAAGCCCTAACCTATTCTAGGGGAAAGGGGAAAGGGGGGAGCCGGCTCTTCATTGTATAGAGCCGGAAGCTTCATCTTGGCCGGGTCAAAGGAAGGGTCCCTCTTCAGAAGTCTGGCATAGAGAAGAGACCTCTCATCTTTCTGGCCACACTGGAATCCATAAGACCCTATCTCCGTTATCATCCTCTTCCCCTCTGGCTCTTGATACATGACTTTGAAAAAGTCCATGGTTTCCTCCGGGGTAGTGAGAAGGGACCGGGCAACCTCCGTGTGATGGCACGCAGCCCAGTCAGCAGCTTCAGAGGGAAAGGCCTCCTCCTTTGCCCGGGCAGATTCTTCAGCCTGGCCCAGCGCATCCTCGAGCTCGGCGATCTTTCTCTTCCTTTCCTCCTCCACAAGGGCAAACCGGGCCCTTTCTTCCTTCAACTCTTCCTCAAGTCTCCTCTCCCTTTCTGCCCGGTCATTGATCTCCAACTTGGCAGAATCAAGGAGGATGGTGAGTTGGGAGACCTGGTCTTTTGGCTCCAGCAGACTTTGGCCAATCTCTTCTGAAATGACCCCGGCCTATAAATTCAAAAAAGAGATACATCAATAAATGCAAAGGAAATATTCTAACCGGGAGGAAAACCAAAGATGAA